ACCCTTCTAGTTATGAGATTTTTTTACTCTTGTTGCTTATCTTCTTCCCTGTAAAATATAAACAGAACATACAATTTTACGTTTTACTATTTTACATTTTTCTTAAAGAGGTAAGATCATGCTTACCTTTCTTAACAAAATTATAAACAACATCAACTGATTCCCATATTATGATAAATAACTGTTTGAGATACTCTGGAGGGACTTAGAGATCATTCACTCTTGAAGGTATTGAAGCGCCTTGACACCTGGCTCTACGTGAGCCTGCCTGAGCAGTAGTGATAGACCGGATGCCTTCACGAGGTCCCTTCCAATCTTAACCATTCTGTGATTCTATCATTCCTTATGATTTCCAGCAATATCTCCTACTAGATGGAAAACCATGGTTTTCCCATTTACTGATTGTTTACTGATTACTCCCCTTCAAAATTAAGAAACAAAAGAGGACTCTTCTCCTGTTGGTTATACGTAGATACCATTGTTTCTGGGATTCCCCAAAACTGACTTGGATTCATAATTTTGGTTAATGTTAACTTATTACTATTTTTTCACTTTAGAATGTCAACTGAATTCAAAGCATGATAAATTTGTTTCTTCCTCTCTGAAGTGTACACCTGGCCTGAACAAGCATACAAACATTACTAACAAAATGTCAGTTATCTTCACTAAAAGGCTATTTGTGATTATAAAAGAGTACCTATCTCACAGCAGAAGATATTTTTTCATCAAATGCAGTTACCAGCACCTTCAATATGCACACACTTTCAATATGCACCCTAATCCTTAACTGTTTGTATAAAAGATGCAAAGTTGTTCATCAAGTATGCAGACTTCCCACCTAACTGCAGCATGATCTCACTGATTTAGTCCTCTATTTTCCCCTACTCAAAACTCTCATAATTCACTGGTTTCCATATCTTGTTATCTATTTTTCCATCCTCAGAAAATAGGGGAATGACAGAGGCAAGATCAAAGGCATTCATTAGCAAGATCCTTAGCTTGACAGATTTTTATTCTGTTTAAAGGCAAACAGGCCAGAAGGTGAAATACAAGAGCATATATTTGAAACAGGATGGAACTTTTCTTCCTTTTGATCAGCACAGGAAGAAGAATGACAACAATAAAGGTAGCAGACCTTGCAATAAAAGAAAATTAACCATGCACAAGGGAAATACAGCATATTCCTATAAGTAGCTTTATAAACCAAAATCTTCCCTAAATAGAAGCCTTGATAGTTCCAAATCCAGTTCAGTGACATACAGCTGATAGAAGAAGAAAACCAAATCCAGCTCTCCCATGTGGGTAAGCTTCTGAAAAATGGTACACTTAAATCAGCAATCTCCACCACACATGGACCATAATTACAAAAATAATCTCCAGTCTCTCAAAACTCCTAAGATACTTTTAACTCTAAGTGTGAAGTCACTTGTTGGTTTCTCAGACCTATTAAAGCACAGAATTACTTCCTCTTGACAGGGACTGGGAGAAAGGGTCCAAATAAAAGCAAGTTCAGTTTTAACCACTAGGACTATATAGAAGAGACCAGACATCTATGTGCCCAAGACTCACCTTCCAAATCTTACAGGCAGCTCTAATTTTTGCATGAAGTGCACAAGTTTGTCTCAAAGCAGGTATCTAGACTGCACAGTAAATGAAGCAATAGAAACTAGAATTTAATTCACAGGCTATGTCAGCCGCCTAACAGGCAACAAAGTCATGGAAACTTACTAAAAGATCTAAAGCTCATCTTTAAAATGTAAATAAATTCCAGGACCTGATGGAAAATTCATTTAACTTCAAACATTTCATTTCATGTGTCACTCTTCACTGTTGAAATACTGAAGGAAGAAAGAGAGGGTGCTGTAAAAAGCCATTAATAGTACATTTTGATCATTTGTGTACTCAGCTGTTGAGCCCAGTGTCTGTCCCACGTCACTTCAAAATAAGATTAGTGCCAAATGCAGCACTAAACTCATGGCATGCTTGTAGAAACAAAAGCACTAACTACCCTGCCCAAAACAAGCTTCAGGAGAGGTAAATGTGGGATCCTGTGATGGTATTTTTAATATTCACAATATGGGATATTTGTTTGGGTACAGCACAGAATGAGTTTCATGCACCTTATACTTTTAAAGTTCTAGACCTTCTATTAACTGAAGCACCCTAAGATATTTCCTATGTGCAATCTACATGCTATCTCTGTGAGAACTAAAATTAATTTATTTTCAAAATTCTACCTTGTCTCTATTTAAAAAATTTTCATATTTTTCATTTTGATTTCTCAATAACATGCTGATATGTAAGAAATAATAGGAAAGATTTTTTTATTTCTTGAAATTAAGTGAAAATCAAAAGAACAAATTCTGGAAACAAGGAGAATCTGGGAACAGCTTAGAATTAATCTGATGCAAGTGTCTAAATGATAGCAACAAGAAAAAAATGTTAAAGTGCAGAGTAACTAGCAACTATAAAAGAACATAAAAAGCCATAAGAAAAGATACTATAAATACACTAGAAAAGGAGAACAAATTAAAATACAGAACTATTACATCTTAGCAAATAAGAGATGATACAAAGAATTCCAAGTGTTCAATATTTTCCCTGCTTCAGTCTTTAAAGTTTCAATTTTTCCCCCTCCTCAATCTTTTAAAAAAAAAAAAAAAAAAAAAAAAAAATCAGTTGCAGCCAGATGCTTAACAGCAGTGATTTTAAGAGGAAAAGCTGCAAGCCAGACAAGGGAAGCTGAAAGATACGCTGGTGATTTAGATACATTCAAGTTAGCAAACTCTTGTGAAATTCACTCTAAAGCATTTAACTAACTAACTGAAGAAACCCCTAATCCATTAGCAACTGTCTTTCAGAGAACAGAGAGGCCAGAGAAGAGCAAATACATATCTTTGAAAAACAAAAAGGGAAGATGTGGGCAATTACTAACTACCAAGCCTAAATCAGACAACAGCAAGAATTATAGACAAAGCTGTTAAATAAATAATGTATCAACATCTAATGGAATAGGAAGGTGATAAGCACGAGCTGACATGAATTTATCAAGAATGAATCACATTAAATTAGTCTAATTGCATTTTCAATTGCGAAACTTTCCTAGTGGATAAGAGAAAGAAGCAGATGCAAAATGCTCCAGCTATAAGACTCTGTTTACTATCCTAGATGATACTTCACTAAAAAAAAAAACCTAGAGAATTACAATCTATGTGAAAACACTGCAAGGTAGAAAAACATCTGGTGGGAAAAAACACACTTACTGAGTAGCTTTCAAGGGCTGGTTGTCAGATCTGAAATGGGATCATGAAGAGGTCTGACAATATTTCCATTAATGATCTGGATGAAGAAATAGAGAGCACATTCATGAAAGTGAACTTATTATCAGGCTGCGATTGATTTAATGCACTCTGGGGGATGGGATTCAATTCCTATATTATCTTGACAAACCACCAGAAAGCATCAAGTACTAGCAAGGAACAGTGAAGAATGTTTCTTTTCTGAAATAACTATGAAAAACAGACTCCAACAATGGTGACCAGGTACCTTCACCCAGTCCAAGTGTAGGACCCCATAGAGCTGCAGAGTTAGAAAACTGTGGGGCAAGGAGAGGTACAGAATGTTGCAAAATCTATTTTAGGTACAAGAAAGTATAGGTATAGTTCCACATAAAAGTGGAAACTTTACAATATTCTGAAGGAAAGACAAAGATGTAGGATTGAAGAGTGGATTTAGGCATTAATTATTGAACTCTCATATCTGATTGGTTTGTATCTCCAGAGAGTGAATAAATAAGCCTTTCTGAAATGCAAAATATTGTTTCTGTATCTGTGCATAGCTTGGCTACAAGTCTGAAGGAGAAAAGCTTGAAAATTACACTCACATCCATCACAGTCAGGCAACAGTGAGGCTACAAATCAGAGATGCTGACCAGAGTTGGTTTAGCTCCTTACAGGCAGATAGACCAATTTACTAGAAAACTATTTCAAAAAAGCTATGTAACTATTATACAAGTTTGAAAATTGCTTAGAATAATCAGCCTAAAACATTTGGGAGACTGTGATTTGGGAAAACTAGTCTTGGGTATTTGGCACAATTTGAAAAAAATGCTGAATCTCAAAATTAATTGCAAAACAGATCTTCTGTTCCTCATCTAGCTCTCTCTGACCTCACTATCTGTAAATTCTCCAGCGAATCAAGAACTTCCACGGACAAAATTTAATGAGAGAAGAAATAAACGTTTCTCACACAAGTATCTCCCAGATCATGTCACACCTAGTTTTCATGTAGCATGGTGAAGAGTACTTGTCATCATTTCATACTTTAAAAATTCTTAGCAGTATTTGCTCCCACAAATGTATTACAGAATTCTCTTCTACAGGAAAGAAAGCAAAAGGAAAAAAAAAAAAGAGAGCAGCTATTCTTGATCATATCCAGTAAGCCTCAGAGCTGTCCATTACACAAGTGTTTAAGGGAGAATACATGGGGGTTTATTATGAAATAACTGTATTTCATGATTCTGAGTATTTATTTGAGATGCTTTAAAATATTTTAATTTTTTTTTGAAAACTAGAAGGTCAATGAAATCAAGGCCACAAAACAGGTAAATATTTTTCAATAACAGGTCTGAACTGCATCAGTGGGGTTGAGGTTTTGCAAAGGTTAATCCATTTAACTACCACACAAAGGAGCAATCTCCCTGCTGCATGTTCCCACCATTTTCATCAAACCAGCCTCTTGTGTTGATTTCCTTATGAGCTAATTCAGCTCACTAAACTGGTAGAAAACTAAAGCAAAAAAAGAAAAGGTGATGCAGGGGTAGTAGCTTCAGGAGAGCTCCTAAATTATCTCAGGCAATCTGTAAACCTTAACAGGAATGTAAGTGCTGATGTCAATGACATTGGTCTTCATTGAATAGAAGACCACCTTCCTGATACATACTTCCAAATTACAATTCAGGCTGCATGGTTACATTAAAAAACTAAAATCAATCAACTTACTGCGAGACAGATTCTCAAGGGCTTTTCCAAGCTTTTTGCTCTCTTGAAGAATATGATTTAGTTCATCAAAATCATGGTTCTCCGGTTTTGTCTTCCAATCCCATTTAGGATGCTCTATTGACCTTGGCACTAAATATACACAGATATATAGATGAAGTTTAGATTTGGTAGTTCAGACTTCTACAGTAGGAAAAAATCTGCACAGTGAATTTACAAGCCCAAGGATCTTGGGTGGAAATTACTTAACTATCCTTTTATTTTAACTGCTGGAAATATTTTCTTCGGTCAATGTGAAGTAAAAACATCTGTGAATAAATGCATAGCTGAATTATTCTTGCAACAAATTAACTGGTAAACAGGATAATTAACATTAATAATTGAAAATAATAAAACTAATATATAAAAAATGTATTTAAGCTATTTTACATGATGATATCTAATTTACAACAAAACAGAATTGTGTGGCCTACGAATCAATAAGAAAAAATGTCAAAAGAAAAATTAGTAACTTTTAGCTTTGCTAGTTATTTTATCAAGAAAAAAAAATAGTTTAGACACAGCTTTTGAAACCAATTTTTTCTTTTTCAAAAATCATATTGTGTAGATAACACAGTTCATAAAAAACAGTGAAACAAAGTAAGTCCCTGTCACTCATATTGTACAGCCTCTAATCTTCATTGCGCTACTTAAATAAGCTCACCCTTTGGGAAGCACAGACCTGAGCTTACAACCTGCTGCTCATTATCTATTACCAAAGTCTTCAATTTAAAATAACAGTATCTCAATTGCTGAGCTAAGTTTACCTAAAACGAAGAGGAGTGTCTGAGATATGTAGGACGCACAATGAACAGAGCTTGTTTGAACAATGTGAACATTTTGAACAATTTGTAGAAATGAAAACAAAAACAGTGCTGTTTCTGGAACTGCAGTTTAACACGTTCTTTTTGCCAGTGTTCAGAATTAAGTGAGCTGCTGCTTTTGCCAAGAAATGCAACTGTTGGGTTGTCTCCAAACACAGCATTACCATGCTCACGTGAAGATGATGTCTAGTCCACCTTTCCACCAGAAAGGACCAGTTGCATTTTTACCAACCATCATTTATCAGCTGCTGACTTAAAAATAACTTCAAAGAAAAGCCTAAAATATCCAGTATATCCTGGCCATCTTCAAAATATTTGTTTACAAATTTGACAGCTGTCAACTAATCTATGCTTATTAACATCATTTTCGCTACATACTAAGAAGGCAACTTACAGACTCCTATAGGTTATGCTAAAAAGGTGGTTTCATGATAATTTGGAACTTCAGACTGCTTTTATGATGGTATGGGGAAATCATATTCAGACATCAAGTCTGGTAGCTATTACAAAATGTCCTAAATAACTTGGTACTGAAATTTGCCTTAATGCTGACTTCCCTCTATATGAATATATAATCTGCTCTACTTTGGATCAACTTCAACTTTCCCTTGTGGAGTTAAGTCAATAGTCACCTTTTCCAAGTAAAGAAATGGGACAAAGTTATGTTGAAGTCCTTCTTTCACAAATAACATGATTCTACCTCCTGTAGACATAAACCAACTCATCTTCAAAATAGACATCTATGAAGAGTCTGATAACCCAGAGTGTATCCTGATCTGTAATACCCTTTAAGGAACCTGGCTATTAGGGAAGTTAATTTATTAGACTGCAATTACAGACATTCACAAAGATAGAAGACAAAAGAGACATTTAAAAAGACCTACAGTGATAAGAATAGAAGGAAAGGGACACAAGAACCCTCAATACGGAGAAGCGAAGAGAGGAGCAAGTTGAAGTATCAGTCTTGTTCTGCTCTGTGTTCAAAAAAGGCAAGCAATGTATTTCCTTCTCAGGACAATGGAAATAATGAGCTATAGTGGTTCCCAGTAAATACATACAGGCTTTAAGGTATTAGAGTATGAATAGTCTCTACTCAGATGAGCAGCTTGGAATTTTTTGTTGACACTTATAAACTTCAAACACTATTTTATAAGTTCCTGGTTTAAGAACAGCTAGGTCAATTAAAAGTTACATAAATTCTTGTGTAACAAAAGTTGACTCCATTCACAGACTGTAGAATATACAAATTAAACAGCACAACTTCAGCATTTCTCATCCTTTTTTTGCTTATTTACAGAAAACAAAATGTTCCACCTAGTATGTTTTCAAAATTATTACTAACTGTAAATATAAATTTTTAATAAACTAGGAAAGAAATTCTATAGAGTTCTCTCTCTTTCTGAGTCCTTTTGCAGTCATTTTACCATCATCCTTCTGTGGGTCAACACTACATTTTACAGCAATCACTCATTAGCAGTATGACAGACTTTCTATGTTTATGCTGAACTTGCCACACCAAAAAAATCTCACAGTACCACCAGAATACAAACACGCAACAACTTAATATAGTAAAACAGTATTAAAAAAGTGACCAAAACTTGGAGCTTCCAAGATTGCAGAAAATTTAAATAAGCTAGAATTTTATACCATGGCAGTTTGAAACAAAACACATTTTTCAAAATAAAAAAAGGGTTTTTGAGAAACCATATGCTTTTGAAGCAAAATTTGTCATGGGACAGAAGCTGGATGAAAGAAATATAAGTTCTGCTTGACAGCTGTGGAGTTTCTAGGATCAGCAACTGCCAAGTATACAGACAAGACTCTGGTTCTTGACAAGTAGGGACACTTGCTCAAGACAGTGACCTCGTTGATCATTTCAGAGAAATGCCTCACAAACACAGGAAGCTTGGACTGCAGCTTGCTAGATGGATAGTGGGAAATCAGTCAAGACCATGGTGGAAATTTGCTTTGCATGCTGGTGGACAATCAGCTGTGTTTTACTGAGCCATTTTGTACTTCAGTAAAAAGGTACAAAATAGATATGCTGTCATGAATGATTTCTATGTTTCAATACAATTTATTTCAACAATGATTTGGCTCATTCTGAGGAATCAAAACAGAGGGGGAAATTAAACAGAATCAGAACTGACTGAAATTGTTATTACTTCCAGAGAAGACGTAGTTCTTCCTACTTACCTAGTCTCTCAAATAATAAATGGATATTAAAATAACATCTATTTAGGAGAAACATGTGGCACGTGTTTGTTCTTTCAAGTTCATTTCCTTCTTGCTTACAGATTTTTCAAAATATAAACCCTTATCTTCTCAGCTGTAGGATCAACAAGCACTGGTAGTTTTCAAATTAATGTCTTTGTTGGAAGCATTCAGAACTGTACAAGCACCATATGACACTTCTTAGGAATCTGCTCAAATACATGATCCTCCTCTGTATGCACAAAGTCCTTCATTAATCGTTTACATGCATGTGTCACTACACACTTAGCAAAATCCTTTCATTATACACTGACCTTCATCTTTCTTCATTACATTCACTCATTCCACAAAATTGTATCAGGAATTTCAAATCTCTTATCACATTACCCACCTCAACCTCATCTTTGTTATTTGAGAGATTTATATGTTATATAACACTTCCTCTTGAAATTATTTGCCTACAATTCAGAAGATTAACTACATCTACATTGTAGCATTTGTATTGAAAGACACAGAATTTCTCTTTAGGGAGCTGAGATTTCACCATCTCATCTTAGGAGACTGGACAGACACACTTGCCAGTAATTCTGATTTTCTGGTGGTGTGCGCTGACCATAAATGCACATTAGATTCATTCCTAATTGTTATGAACTCTGCCACAAATCAGCACACCTTTATTTTCTACTGGATGATGGTACAAGATCAGTACTGGTTTCATCTACCCATACAAGTCTTTTCAATGCATGACCTGCAGACAGAATCAGACCAATTGCTTATTAAAATCCAACATTTCATTAATGCATTGTATGGCCATCTTACATCTCAAAGAACAAAAATATGTATAATATAATTGAGTGTAAAATTACTCATTATTTAAATCTTGTAATAGCATTCAGGTTGGAGTTTTTTGATAATAAATCCAAACTGGTTTACATAGTATCTGGATATTAAAAGGCTAAAAGAATGATGGCCTACAGTCCTAGACTGACTGAGAGCATCTAGAAGCACGCAACACTGTACTTGCATATGGGATGTGGTGAGAATGCTGAACTAAAGCAGCATGAAAGGATGATCTGTGATCTAATATGGACATGGTAAAGAGATCAACCTACTTTGCCAGAAGTAGCTTGATGGGAAACAAAAAGTCTGTTTTACAAACTAGTTTGAAACTTCCAAATTTGTTTTTCTTCAGATAGAGGACGTGATCATTTAAACATTTCATTTATATACACACAAACACCCCTAGCTCCAAGATTCTTCCTTGACAAACAACAGCAGCAGCTTCTGGTTACTCTGGTTTTGCACACACCAAACAAGTGGTCAGACAGCTTAGATATTAACAACTGTTTGTGTGTTTCAGGTGCACCTGAGATCATAACAGGCAGGAGTGGAAGTATCTTTCTAGTAAAAAAGTTGAAAGCATAAGGAAGAGACATTTCTGCACAAATAACAAGCACACTGCAGTCAACATCACTCTGCTGAAGGAAAAAATAAATTCCTAATTAAATAAATCAAATATCTTCATGCCCCCAAATATTCCTATGAAGTGACAGTTCTGAATAAATGTACAAGTTTGTGATCATTTGAACCAGACAGTCACAAGACAAAAACGCTGAAACAGAACATAATAGAGTTGATGGACTCCATTAAATTTTGGGTTTGTTTTGGCAGTTTGGGGGTGTGCTTTTTAGATTCTTGGGTGTGGCGATTTGTTATTTTCTTTTAAACACAAATCTGAGAGTAAATCTTTAGGTCTCTGCAGGTCCAAAATTTTCTGTGTTTCAGATGAGTCCTTACTACCTCTTTGGAGATGCTTTGGGAAAATAAGTACAAGAGGTAGAAGCTGAAGACACAAAACAAATGGAGTATGTTGTGCACATTAGGAAAGAATTCCTTCTAAACACATTTGCTTGCTGATATGTGTAGCTGAAGGAGTACATGGTACCCGCTGATTTTGTCATAAACCAGAAAGAAAGGTCAAAAGCACATTTAGAATATTAATCTATACATACAGATTATATCTACAGATTAAAATAATAATAATAATCAATTTGGCAGAAAATAAGAGAAGCAAGATATGGCAAAAAGGCACATGTCTGAAACCAACCTCTGCAATAGCAACTAAAAGAAAATGTAGTTCAAATACACAAACTACTTCTCAAAAAGTTGCAGACACAAGTAATTGCAGGTGTAAGTAATGAAAACAATAGGATTAATTAAGATTCAAATAAATCAGTGTTATGGAAAAAAAAGTGAAATGCATAAAACAGTCAAGCATAGAAGCAGAGGATAATTGGGCTGGAAAGGACCTCTGGAAGTCTTCTAGCCCAACCTGGGGCCCTAGACTGGTGCACTGAGGGCAGGTTGCTCAGAATAGTCAGATCAGTTTTAAATATACTCCATGATGGTGATTACAAAGCCTCTCTGGACATCCTGTGTTTGACTTTGTTCCTGTGTTTGATTACCCTTGCAGTATAATTTTTGTTTCCTCTTGTCCTTTCACTAAACAATCTTGAGAAGACAAATCTGACTACGCCTTCTCATCCATCCTCCAGCATACTAGTTGATGGTAACAATGAAATCTCCCCTGAGCTTTCATTTCTTCAGTATCACCAAACCAATTTTTTTCTGCTTTTTTGTTTTGTCCATCACATGCTCCACCATTGCCATCATCTCGGTGAGCATCCAGAGGACTTGCTCCAGTACACCACCGTTTCTCACAACAGATTCCAGATGCCATCTCAAAAACAAACACTGCGGGCTCTACTTTTGCTACTGCAGCCTGGTATGCAGGTCACCTTCAGCACTGCATGAGCACACAGCAACAGCTGTTTTGTATTTCAAGTCCTTGTCCATCAGCATCCCACATCTTTTTCTGCAAAGCTACTTTCTATACACATGTATCACCAGCTTACACTATTGCCCAGGCTTATTCCATCCAAGAAGTAGGACTTTGAATTTGCCTGTGTCAAACTTCAAGAGGTTTCCTCTCAGCCCATTCCTTGGTCCTATCCCTCTGAAGAGCACTCTTACTACCCAGAATACCAATCACATTCCACAATTTGGTCTAACCACAAACCTAAGAGAAATTCTATCCCATCATCCAAGGCATTAGGAAATTCTTTTAAATGGCATCAATCTCAGTACCAGTCCCTTGAGCATACCATTAAAGACAGCCTTTCCAATTGAACTCTGGAGGAAGGAAGGAACTCAGTATGATGACAGGAACAGCTCACAATACCTTTTGGCTAGTAACAATCTCCTGAATCTACCAGCTGAGTCAACTTTCCATGCATCATCTTGTCCACTTATTGAGTCTATATCTTATCAACTGAGTTATAAGGATAACTGGAAGCTGACAAAGGTTTTGTTAAAGTCATGGTATGAAAGATCCATCACTGTTTCTTTGGTTACAGGGCCAGTTATTTCACCAAAGAGAGCAATTGTGTTGATCTGATCAGACATATATGGTCTCATAAATCCATGCTTGATGTTCCAAATCACATTTTCTTCCTTGCGAATAGGAACACCTTTCAGGAAAGTTTGCTCAATAATCCTTGCAGAGGGTGACGTTTGCCCTTCCTCAAAATCAATGAGATATTTGCATTTTTCTAATCATCAGGAACATCCACAATAACTATGACCTTTCAAAGATGACAGAATGGCCTTGGAATGATATTAGTCTCCTCTTTCAGTATGCTTCGAATCAATCCCATGTAGTGCCATGTATTTATGAATGTCAGTTGTACTAAGCACACCCCAATTCTACCTCCTTTGCAGGCAAAGCTGCACTCCCACACGCTGTTTCTAGACTCTAGATAGTTTGAGAGTAAGTCTTACAAGTGAAGAGTATTAATAAGTTTCCCTCAGTCCACAAGGACAGATCCTTGACCCCAGTTATTTTATGGATGTATAAAATATTTCTTTGCTTGACATGAGACCTGGTAGTTTAGAATGCCCAGCCTCCTCTTTGTCCCTCTAATGGGACAATCTAAGGACTAACAAGCACAAAATTTGTAGTAGGCACATATTTGAGGGGAGTGACCTGATGTCACCCCCCACCATGTGGGATAAAGGCAGAGAACTGGAGATCTTTAGGAGGTGGCATCAAAGTTGCTTGATGCATACCACAGAGTCTGAAAAGCAAGCACAGGGCAGAAGGAAGAAACACAGTACCATGACAGAACAGCTTACAATACCTTTTGGCCACTGCTTGTAACAGTGGATCACCATAAATTGCTGTTATCTAGCAAATCTGTTAGATAAGACACAGACTGAGTGACTATAAGCATTTATTGGAATGCCTCTATTTCTTCTTGAAAATAAATTAAAATACAGATGCTTCTTTTGAGCAGACTTAAAAATTCATGTGCCCATTGAGAGGCACAATGGAATTGATGATCAAATTTGAGTGTTTTTGAAGCAGGCAATATGCTTGATGAAGAAGAAAAAGAGACAAATGCTCCGTTTCTAGAAAAAAATAATCCTGAGAAAATCCTGTACAATGGGAAACAGCTACCAGTATTTTTTCTTGTTGCAGTTATTTATTCTCAGTAAAAAATGTTTCATAATCATACAAGACTATTAATCACTCAAAAGCACAGTATTGTATAAATTTATCATTATTTACTTTACCCATTGCTGCCTAGTATTTTGACTTAGTGAGGTCACTGGACAATCTTCCTTGACTCCTAAGTCTAGACTTTCCCATTTTGCTTTTAGAAGAAAGACAACAAACTTTCTATTGCACCATACTATATCTCTGTTCTCATCTGGTACACCCGGTCACACTCAGCATTATAAAGATTTGGCTGTTATGAAAATATCAAAAATCTACAAGAGTTAATAGAAGAAAATCTAATTTTTCAATTTATTTTGGAGAAAACTCTTGTATAATTCCCTGGGTGTCTAACTATATTTATATATGTATGCATATTGTAAATATATTTATTTCTGAAAAAAACCCAACAGTAAGAATCAAGCTTAAAAATTAGATTTCTTCAATAGCCAGTACACAGGAAGCATATTTCATTACGGCCTGTTGTCTTCATTTTCACTAATTTTTTGCAGGTAGTTGACAATAGTCTGTTCAGCTGCTCTATTTCTACTCTGCCTTTTCTTTCAGTCTACATTTAGATTCCTTCAGCAACTCTCAGAAAAGTACACCTGTTCTGCTGACACTACTCCCATACCTTGAACAGTATCTGTTCATAATTCATAGTTTTGAATTGCCTGACATACAGAAAAAAATCTATTAGGACCAATATCAACAGAACAGATTTTACACGTGCAAAATGGCAACACAAACTAAAATATCAAACCATAATTAGTATCCGAACATAAAACAGTGCATGACACCCAGATATTAGTCTGGTTTTTAATCAATCTATCCAGAATTCTTTTATATCTACAGATGAAAACATAGGACATTATAAAATATTTATAATTCAAGTGAGATTAAGACAAGAATCAAACACTTCTAACATATATATATAGGCATTTCCTCTGTTGACAGTTTGCTTTCCATTTTAAACCTTATTCAAATGAAAAACATACTACAGGTTGGAAAGTATGCACAAATTATTAATGTAGTGAAGCTTTCTTACATGACTTGGACTCCGGTGATGGTGGAGAAATGTTGGACACAGCAAGGTCGCTCTTTGACTTTTTAGGCTTTTTTGCATTTACCTGCCAAGGCTTATCATAATTTCTAAAATCTCTTCTTGTTCCTTTATTTTCTGTTAAAAGAATCAAATTAGATAATCGTAACATTTGTAGGGTAATTTCTCAAAGACTTAACAAAGAATTAACCAAAAAACCCCCAAGGTATAGCAATCCAAATTAAAGACAGCTCTTTTTTTTCCTCCTATTTCTGATTGCTTTTATATTTATTATATTTATTCCACTTTTTAAATATCAAAGCTTAGAAATTAATCTGTTTTTCATTAAAAAGGTCTATTTTTTGTTATGGAAAACTATTTAATGTCCCTGTTATGTACATGTTCTACCACCTACGTTAAAACTGTGCATTTGATATAAATGGTTGATTTGTCAGTAAATTAATATTTTGGCTACCAGCAACTATTTAAGCTCTATAGTCTGAAACAGATCATCATCCAATTTTTAAACACAAAACTAATATTGTAATAGTAGCTTGTACCAGAATATGAAAACCAAGTATTCTATTTTACAATCAGAGCAGATAATACTTCAGAATATTATTTTAATGCTTTTGAAGATTTACAATCATAAATTATTCACACTGGAGTTTATAAAGTAGCATAGTGGCTCCTCATTAAGTGCTGGGATGATAGGTATATAAAAACATGTATTATTAAAGAAAATATCTCACTAGAGTTTAATCTCAGGCACAAATACACCATGGGAGGGAAAAAGAAAACAAAGAAAGAGGACAGCAAGGGAACCTCTCTCACTGAGCCTGGGACTGTTTCCATTCTGTAACTCTGATGCATACTCACATGATATATACCTAGGCAAAGCTGACAGACAGCAATGTATATTAAATGCAGTATCTGCTGGATAAACAGGATTTATTCTGCATGCTCCAAACCATAAAGCAGTACCTGTTCAGTAGGTACATATGCATCCAGGAAATCATGGACACAAGTGTGGGAAGATTATACTGAAGACCAGTCCTTTCCAGCACACAGAACATACCTGATGTTTCACTCTCTGCCCAAAGGGCAGCAGAGCCAGACAATGTTCTCTGAAGCTGACCGCGGTTTCCCTGCTTGGACTGCAGATGATCAATTAAAAATGGGATTGGTTGGTCAGGTGTCTCCGTTATCAGCTTGGTCATCAACTCCTTTAGAAAATTAAGCCAAAACAAAAAATTAGTGAGATATTGCACCTAAATTAATCTTGTATTTACCAAAAGAAAATGAGCATTTATAAAGGAAAGACTGTCAACAGGAAAGCATCTTCTATGCCATGCATTGGTGCTATCCAACTGCTGTTCTGCACCTTGGCTGTGCAGGACTGCAGAAAAAGAAACACTCTTCATTATTGCTGCTGGGGTTCCTTCTGGCTTCCTAGGCATAAAACACATTAGGAATCCAGAAAGAAGCTGTGACTCTGCTCTGTGCATGTGCTCTGAGAGGAAATGAATGACTCAGGGCAGGTGAGGTGACCCTGAAACCCATTTAGTTCTACAGGAGATCTGTGGCTGCTGCTGCAAAATGAGAAAGCTTCACAGAAGTAAAAAATTACAGGAGTGTACAATAAAATAAGAACAAAATTAAAATAAACAAAAAAAAAAAAAAAAAAAAGAAAAAAAAACCCCAAAAACAACTAACCTAAGTTATTCAGAGCATATATTCTCTCTTCACCTGTTCCCAAGTATACCTATTCCCAAGTACAGGGGAATAGATATATATATATATTCCCATATATATATATGTATATATATGTAACTTAACACAACTTACATGCATTTAATTCTATCCCCACTTCATCTTTTCCACACTCTTTCATGTAATAATTTTTTTTTTCAAATGTCAGTAGTTACTTAGCTTTACTATCAATTAAGTGTGTTGGGAGAAGATACATCAGAGGAAGTATACCAAATAGCAGCAAACATGAATAACTGCACAGGGGATTACTAAAGCACAGCAAGTTCTCTTTGTCATCAAAAAGGACAAAATATGTCCAATCTGCCCACATGTCTTGTTAAGACACAATCTTCTGTGATGTCATTTTTGATACTTATCCACAGTGAAATGAAAAACCCTGGCTTTCTCTGGTTTTGAACTGCAACTCCACAGGGAGAAATTAAGCTACTTACTAATCTTAGAATTGTTGGAGCTATGGAGCGCAACTTCATCTGGATGGCCTCTTACTAAGGCAGGAGAAACCCTCCAATATACATCATACAAGAAAAAAATCAGAAATTGCAGTAATTCATGTTTTAGTTGCTTGGCAACACTAAGAGCAAACCTTTATTCTTTTCCCAGCCAAAATGCAGAATTAGCGACAATAGGAAGATGTAATGTAGTGCTTGTAACAGACCACAACAGCTCTAGTAATTCCACTGCAGAGGATTCTATTACCAAAGGAAAAGTGGCAATCTGTTACAGCTGACTTGTATTTAAATAATTTCTCAGAATCATGGTTGGAAAATTATTTTTGACTTAGATTAGTAATACATTGTAATATTAACATAGTATTGAAAAAGGTAATACAGAAAAATGAGAAATTTTAGAATGCCTACATATCAATGTAAGACAAATGCTACTTGATTGTTGCCGTAACTGATTTGCTTGTAGCAGGAAGAAATGGTCTTTAAGTAACAGAAATACATCTAATAAAATAAAACCAATTACAAGATTCCTTACCTCTTCTGAGATGTAGCAAAAAACCCAAAGATCAAGGTGATGTGAAACTAGATTCTATTAAAAAGGACTGCTTTTTGTACCTATTGTTATATTGATAATAAGACCTGAGTGACATAGAGATCTCTGCTGTCCAAGAGAATAATCAGTCCTACTCTGAGACAGCAGTCAGAAAATTTTAAAGAACCGTAGATAGACACTACTTTTATCTGGAATAACAAATGTGTTGCACCAATCCTGTACACCTAAAGTGAAAAAATAAATAAATATAACATTGCTGAAATCCTCAGGAACTGAAGAGTGTGAAGTTCTGAGAAAAAACCTACTTATTTGTGTAATAAGCCTCCAACTGATTTGCCTCAAGCACTCTCAGAAATGTCATTAAAAGTAAATGCAACTTAAAACAAGCACAAAGGCAACTCAGGTTATAAAATCTGCCATTTAAGGAAGACAAAACTCTTTACTACAAGTATTCCACTGCAAAAGGGGAGAAAAGAAACAGTTAGGAAACTACTTCTCAAGCTGCTTCAAGCAAGGTTTGGAAGTGGTCTCCAATTTACCACTTTTCATGGAGTTCCTGAACTCTGGACAAGGTGCAGAGAACACCTCCACTTCAAGAACAATAGCTTCAGACATCTACTCTGTGTAAATTCACATGCTGAAGGTGTTATCTCTCTTCCATATCCTTCTGCCTCACACAGACAGACATCCCAGAAATAGGATCACAGCTCCAAGACCCTCACTGCCTTTGTCCTTCTATCAGTTTCTGCCAAGGGACATAACTACCAGTTTCATCCAGTTTCTACCAGTTTCATCAAGGGATGCAACTCCTGCTGCTCAGCTCTCCACCTGTCCTCTTCAAGCTCATGTTTCCTTTGAGACGTTTTTCATCCCCAGCAAATTGGCAATTACTACATGGAAATATGCTAGCTGCGTGCATTCAATTGCTTGGCTATGCCATGGAGGTGGGAGGGTTGGAGGAGCAAGAAAAATAAAAATAAAGCCAAACCCAAGCTACCCAACAAGAAACAAGCACAAAGCTTCACCAACATCAACTGTACACAGTGAGTGCTCACCTAATTTTTAAAGTAAAAACACATACTTCTGTGGAGGTGAAAAGATATTACAGATGAGGAATGCCAACTAAAGAGTATTCTCATTCTAGTACCATTCTCTAGAAAACTAACTTAAACTTCCGATTAAATTATCAAAAGCTTATTTAATGACCTCATATGTTGCTCAGGTGACATCTTAATAGACAGCAAGAATAACATACTACATGGTGCTCTAAATATACTTTCACATGGTTGAACTGTCTCTTAAAAAAGATGACAAAAGTGAATGTATTAAATAAGAAAAACTAAAGCATACAAGGTACAAAAATAATATTCCTTTTTGGTTAGCAGCAGTCTGATCTGACTCACAATGTGCTAAGTAGGCAAGGTTTCACAAGAAAAAGAAAAGGGAAAAGACCAACTAGTCTCACTGAAGACGCCTCTGCATTAAAAGCAGAACAAAAATGCCACAAGATCATTGAAACTCAGATTCATTTTTTCATTAACAAATCATCAGGTAAGTTTCAACTATTCATAAAAACAAAAGTGCAAAACACCTAAAGGCAAGTCTCTTAAAAATATTAGTTATACTTTTCACATTTTTAGCTCAAATTTCTAAGTTTTCTACAATTCAAATAAGGCAAGTCTGTTGTTCTTATAACAACAAATAAAAAGCCATAGCAGATTGGGTCTCCATGCTGCCAAACAAACTGCTTACTACCTATAATCTCTCCCCTCCCACCTCCTTTTTATTGCTGTGTTTTCCTTTCACTCTACGTCCCTTTGTCTTTTCTATCAGTGGACTTCCTCTCACACAGTTTCTTCCTCCCAGCTGTGTAAGAAGTGAAGAAGCTTATCAGAAGTCAGTAATAATGAATTCCCTCTGCACCCCTGAGGACACACTGGAGCACAGAAAAGGGGCCAAAGGAAACTTCCATGGTTACTACAGACTAGAGCACTCAGATGAATACATCCATTTCTACTGCTTCCCAATTCTACTGCCCCAAATTAGGCTCTGCCCTGTCTAAAGGCAGAATGAGAAAGAACAGGAAGGTGATATAAGCTCTTTCAGTTAACTGCTTCATGGATTTTACCTAGCAGTGTGCAAACCAGTTCTTCTTTCTTCATACCTTGTAAAGATATCTTTATATGCTCCTACATTCACTAGTTTTACTGAACTATGTTACTAAGACTGTTTAAAAAAAACACTTGTATAAGTTCATTTGTGGATAGCTCTCTTCCAAGAGAGATTCATGCACATGTAATGAGGCTGCAAAAGATCTTGAAAAAAACACCAGGTCTAAAGTAGTAGTTTAATATATTAATTATTTATAAAGAATATACAGAATTTATAAAGAATAATTTATAAAGAATTCTTTATATCTTTCACTATTTTGCTATCCTGAGGTTCTCTATTAGTTATTCAATGAAGGCTCAAATTTTTATTTCCTTGTAACTTTCCAGGCATTTAATACAAATGAAACAGTCTTCACAGTCTATTAATCATAAGCCCAATTACAAGAAAGTCCTAATTAGCCCTGTCTCAATGTACATATCAGGTTATTAAGTTAATTAAGAGACATTCTATCTTGCCCTGTAATTGGTAATGGTAACTACACAACAATCACATTTCAACTGAACAGACTTGTATAGACTATGGCACAGTATTCACAGATTCTGGCTGTGTTACACTCTTTCTTTCATGGATTAAATTAGAAGTTTAAGTACAATTAAATACAGCAAGTCTTCACAGTCATGTCAGTAGTGACTTTGTCAATAAAGAAGTCATGAGGGGCTAGATGTCTCCCAGCTGACCAGCCAGAGTATGTCCACTTAGGATAGGAAGAATTGCTCTCCTGGCTTCACTGACTTATTGGAGATACATGCACTGGGTACAGTGAAGCTTGGACACTTAGACATCTAAAATTAGACTTGCTAACCCCTTCATACAGGCTGTAAGTAAATAAAGAAGATAAAAATTGAGGGAAAACTTGCGGGAGGACAGAGGTTTAAGAAACTTTTTAACAACTGACATTTTTTGTTAGAATTCCATTCTGATTACTGCAGTAACAAATCAAGGAAACAAAAATAAATAATTCCTTTTAAGTATATTTTAACATTATTCTTATTGACTAAATTAAGTCTTAAATTCTTAAATGAGAGCAGAAATGACTGCTTAAATGACTGCTTCCACCAAAAAGTATTATTTTCTACAGAAATAAATGAAAAATAACAGCATCCTTCTTTTGGAAAATAGCCAGGCTTTAAATATTCTTGAGCAATTCTTAATTAAAAGTAGTAGAATCCATTATAAACTATGAATCAAATGGACTTCAACATATTTTATGTTCATTAAATGATCATCACATCTCCCTGTAAAATAAATTATTCAATCTGACACAAATTTCCACATAAATAAA